GCTAGGGACCCCCCCCCCACCTCTTTTGGGACGTGCTGGGAGTCCGTGAAGCGGGGCGGGGAGCCGGGAGCCGGGAGCCCCGCCTGGGACGGTGAGAAGGGGCGGGAGCTGGGGCTGAGGAGGGACTGGGGCGGGGCGGACGTCGGGGTTCCCCGCTCGCTCCTCCTCCGCGTCCCGGGGCGGCGGCGGCGGGCGGACTGACAGGAGCAGGTGCGGGGCGTGGCGGCGGGTGAGCAGCGGAGGCAGGTGGTCGCGTCCAGACCCCGCAGGCAGGTGCCACCTGTCACTCAGCGTTTCCCTGACGCAGCAGCAGGAGTCGGGTTCAGGGGGGTGAAAAGTGCAACTGGACTCCCGGACTCCCGGGCCCGAAGGAGGGGGAAAGGGACCCGCATTCCTGGGTTGGCGGGGAAAGTGGGCGGGGCCGGGGCTCCCGGGGGAGAGGCGTGGGCAGGGAGCCCAGGCTTGCGGATGCTGGGGGATGGGGACTGGAGGTGTTGGGACTCCGCAGGTGCAGAATGGGCTGGGAACCGACTCCGGGGTCTGAGGGAGGAGGGCGCTCGAGTACGGACTTTGGGGATCAAAGCGAGAGCTTGAAAAAAGCAAAACAAAACAAACAAAAAACCCCTCGAGCAGGGCTGGTTCCCGCTGATATTTGGCAGAGCACGCTCCCGAGCTCTGCCCCGAGATTCGTGGGAGGCCCCCGTGCTCCCGGGTTGGATTACGTGCAAGAGGGCAAGCCGAGGCCGTGGTTATAAATACCTCCTGGGAGTCGGCAGGAGCCCAGCGCCCCAGGCAAGGGCCCTGGTGCCATATTCCGCAGAAAATCATCACTAACGTTTCCGGGGTCTTAACCAGTGAGACGTTGTCAATACCACAGATGCCTTTATTGCTCCTGGCACTCCAATCCCACACCCATCTACCCACCGTCCCAGCCTCTACGACCCAAAAACTCAAACTCCCAGCATTCCAAGCGGGAAAAGAACTACAACTCCCAGAAAGTTCTGCGCTCAGGAGGGCTCCAGTGAGTAGCAGCCCAAGAATTTTCAAGGCTCGCGCGCTCGTTTGCTATTGGTTTTCAAGGGGGCGTGGCCACAGGAGGTCCGTGGCGGTGATTGGCCGGCAGTTCCTGCTGCTCCAGGTCCCAGAGGAGGCGGCGGAGTCTGCGCAGTTCACGGTGCAAGGCGTCGTCCGTCACCTGCCCGGAGAGGCGCAGGCGCGAGCTGCCCAAGGGCAGGATGAGGGGCGGATGGGAGGAGAAGCTTTCGAAGATGTCCCCTATGAGACCGAAAACGCAGAATTAAGTTCTGAAAATGGGCAGTAGGCAGCAGTGTCAGAGAGAGACTAGGCTGCGTCACGTCCGAAGGAAGGAAAAACTTAAAACCCCCCAGCAACTCCTAGAGCGGGGTCCACTCCAACGCGACGCTTGGAGTTCCCAAGCATCATGGGAGTTGTAGTTCACACTACAAAAGGCCACCGTTGCCTGGGAAACGGGCGATGTAGTTGGGTTCTTGGGTCCACAGAGGAAAGAAAGACTGGAACTTAGTTTTACGGATTCCTTCGAGTGGAGGGCCTGAAGCTGGGACTCCTGGATGACGGGGAGGGTAGTTTGTAAGGCAGCGGTTCTCAACCCTGTGGGTCGAACAACCCTTTCACAGGGGTCGCCTAAGACCATCGGAAAAGGTTTTTGTGATTAATCACTATGCTTTCATTATGTTCAATTTGTAACAATGAAAATACATCCTGCATATCAGATATTTACATTACGATTCATAATAGTAGCAAAATTACAGTTATGAAGTAGCAACGAAAATAATTTTATGGTTGGGGGTCACCACAACATGAGGAACTGTATTAAAGGGTCGCGGCATTAGGAAGGTTGAGAACCACTGTTGTAAGGGAAAGAAGCTGGGGGTCTGAACCCCTAGGAAAAAAAGAGGGAGCTGGGGGCTTGAAGTCCCGTATCCTGGGGAGAAGGGGATTGAGGTCCAGCACTTAGATGCTGGGGGAGGAGAGGGCTAGGGGTCCAAATCCTGAGTAAGGAGGAGGAAGGGGCTGGGGCTATGGATTCCGAGGTCCCAAGGACAGAAGCAAGCTGATCGCCCCCATCCATGCCTGTCCCCATTTCTCCTCACCTGTGTCCACAGCATCCCGGTCTGCAGGGAGAGGCTCCCAAGCAGGTGGGGGCCCGCGGCCAGGACCCAGCTGGTAGTGGCTGAGCAGATGGTGGAGCTGAGCAGGGGTCAGCGTGGGGTGGTCGGTTCGTAGACTGTTCCATGAAGCCTGGTGGGAAGATGAGGTGAGAAGTCTGTGGTCATTATGGAGCAGCTGAGAAATCCTAACTAGAAAGCCCTCCATAGAGGGGTTGGATGTAGTGGGATGTACGGGTGTCTGTGCAATGCCTTGAGGGCACTGTGAAGTCTGGTGTCACTGAAGTGATGGTAGGGAAGGGTGTGCTCTCAGCTTTTTTTTAAAATATATTTTATTGATTTTTTACAGAGAAGAAGAGGGACAGAGAGTTAGAAACATCGATGAGAGAGATCGATCAGCTGCCTCCTGCACGCTCCCTACTGGGGATGTGCCCGCAACCAAGGTACATGCCCTTGACCGGAATCGAACCTGGGACCCTTCAGTCTGCAGGCCGACGCTCTATCCACTGAGCCAAACCGGTTCGGCAATCTCTCTCAACTTTTTTTTTTTTAATGGGGTTTGCTGCTCAGCTGGTGTTGCTCAGTAGTTGAGCATCGACCCATGAACCGGGAGGTCATGGTCAGGGCATAAGCCCAGGTTCCGGGTTCAGTCCCCCAGTCAGGATGTGTACAGAAGGCAACCTATTAATGCTTCTCTCTCACATCGATGTTTCTCTCTCTCACCCTCTCCCTTCCTCTCTAAAAATTAACAAAAACATTTTTTAAGTGATTTGGTGCAGAATAAATGAAGATAGGAGTAGGCAGGGGACGGAGAAGAAACTAACTTAGCCATCCCTTCATCGTGTTGAAGCTGGTGATTGTACCTGGGGATTCATTATTCCACGGCGGCTACTTTTTGTGTCTCTTTGAAAATTTATA